AGCAATTCATCGTCGAGCAGGCGTCAGAGATGCGAGTTCCCCACCCCAAGAGTACGTGCCTCGTATACAACACACTCATATGTATAAGCGGCCTGTCGGCGTTCGTGTACACGAAGTGGGACAAAATTCCCGGTTTGACCGCAATAGACTACATCCCACCCGGCGCATAGGATTGTGCAGGCGGGTTTTTCCTGTCAAAACAGCTAACCCCGTCCTTGAAGTGTAAAATCGGGGAACGTAAAGTATTTTTAAATTTGTCCACCTCTTGCATCGATTGTTATTTTTCGGCCTTCTGTCGACTCTGTGTTGATACATAAGACAATAAGAACCCAAATTGAAGAATATCTCCAATAATACGGCCATTACGGGCGTTGCCGCCGGCCGAACTCTCGAAGATACTTAGAGACACTAACTTCGAGTATGCGTGGCTGATGCAAGTGTCTGTTTTGAAGTTGTTGTTAATCATCAGTGTATCCTCGCATCGTTTCGCAGCTAATGTTATGTTCGTGCGATCAAAAACTTGAGCCGCTGAAGTCGTGAACAAAATCTGGAAGGTGACTGGTCAGAGTGGAATCTGAATAGGCCGCGCTTATGATATGATATCACTACCACTCCTTTAGTCGCCCCATTGCGACATTCATATTTTCCACGGTTCACGGAGGACCTTGGCATAGGTAATATAAACTTGGTTCTTAAAATCCCTCCCCTTCTTACTTTGCACGCGACACGCGTCTTCCCCTCAGTCATCACCTGAATCATCATTTTTATTCGTAACACAGGAAGCAGAAGATCAGTTTCATAAATATTACTTGTCCGAATGCAAAAAGGAGATTGCTGCTCATCGCATATTTACCCGTTTCTGACGCTAGCACCCATCACCATAACGCTCTAGTCTGCCGCATGAACGGTGTCGCATTGATGTTGGAAATGACTGCGAGAGCCTGGGAGACAGAATGATTTCAAAAAAAAAATTGTCTGGCAGTTTCGTTTCTTAAAGTCGGGAGTCTTTTTTCCTCCTGTTTGCAGCTAAGATCCTGCATTTTAGTGCGAGCATATGTCAACCAATGTTAAGACGTAAACCAGTTCTCAGACATGCGTACACGATCGGTCGTCGTTAAGGGACAGAACGCCATGTCGACAAAAATTGACCGTCGATCCGAAACGGTGATACCCAGGCACTGACAACAAAAAGAAATCAGACAAAATAAAAAATCCAACATTAAAGTATTGCCTTACCAACGAAGACTTCTTAGCATTCTCGCGTGTCCTTAAAAAAGCTGATAAATGTTTTCAAATGGTCCACCAGGATGAGAAACAAAGGCGGTTTGACAGTGCTAAAGTTCCGCTAAAGTCATTCAGTCTGTGATCAATTGTACTTTGTTAATCGTGCTTTTGCTAAAATGACCTGCTTGGTAGAGTTCCGAGGGGTTTGGATCCGAAATTGTCCCAGTTTACCTACTAAATTTCCCTTCTCCCCAGTTAGGTGAGAAAATTTTTAAAATAGGCATCGGGAACATTTTTTCACCCAGTCAAATAACCTTTCCATGCCGGTTACTGTTTAGCAGCTAAGTTGGTTTTTAAAAAACCGACACTTTTAAATGCACAGTCCCATTTCGTTCAGCGTAGAGTCCGTTATGAAAAAATTCGGCATTAGATGGTACTTATTTCAAGTTCAGTAGGCACTTGCTTTGACCCCATGCAGGTTTCCTAGCTGACCGCGGGGCCAGCACTCGGGGCAACTTTGCCCTATTTGATCTCCAGGCAGCGGTGCAGTGGGTGCAACTGAACATTCATCGCTTCGGCGGCGATCCCAAACGAGTCACGCTGATGGGTCACAACCACGGCGCAGCGTTGGTGCATCTCTTTTCAATCTCCACGCTCTCAATCGGTAAGTCCCAACCCGGTCAGTTTTATGACCCGTATGACGTCTTCTTAAATGCGGATGGGAATGCATGATTTTCCTTGCATGGGAATTGTAAAGTTTACAGTTTTGTAATCCCGCATGCGGGTGTAACGGCAGATCGGGTTCAAAATTATTCAGGACCTAGAAGAAAATTTTGAAATCAAATTATGGCCTTGCTTCAAGTACAAAACTCAAAAAAGACGTAATTTATTACCAAATAAAGAACACTAGGCAAGTTTTCTACAAAATGTAATAAATTTATACGGACGTCAAAAATCGATAGGGAAAGTTAATAGCACTTAATTAGTCAATTTTTTGCAAAGCTTATTTGCAGGCAACCGAAATAAAGTTTGCTCAAAAGCCGGCATCCTGACATGACTAAGACATTTTGGTTTGCATTAATATAAGAACCATAGTTAAGTATTCTTATCGAGTCGGAAATACATTTCGGGAGTTCGGTCAACAGCTCGTAAGATAGCACGTCTCTTGGAATTCACAGCTTGCCGGTTATGGGTTGAATACAGACACTAGATATAGGAGTTTTGTGAAAGAAAACTGGAAACCACGACTCCAGGCCCTCAAAATCAATTTATGATCAATCATTTTTAAACTGGAGAATATGAACTTCGTTTCCGTCATTGCACTGACTTGTCGCGGTTACAGTGAGACTACCTAAGATCCTTTTGTTCAAATAAAAAACGCTCCTGGGGCCGGGTGCGCCCGCGGGGTATCTGTTGGTCAACTTTAGCCTCTCAGTAAGATTCCTTTTTATGCTACTCTCAGGTCCACATTTCTACGGGATTCAGAACATTGTGCTGCTTGACGGATCCGCCACCGCGCCCTGGGCCACAGCCCACTGCGCGGACACCTTAAAGGACTTTATAGAGTCACAACTGAACCTCGCCTCTGGTGAGCAGACGTCGACGCCGCCGCCCCCAAATCCGTTGTCTTCACCTAACCTCTTTACCCTCCTACAGAACGCCCCCCTGAGCACCATCCTTGAACTCCAACGAAACCTCTCCTCACTGCCTCAATTCAGTGCCTGCTTGCGTCCCCGTCGCGAACCACCGCTCTTTCCAGAGTTGCGTCGTAGTAGGCTACCCGCGGCTCTGGACATCTCACTTGATCAAGACGGTTCCCCCGAAACCGCCGATTACTTCAGGCCGTTGGGACAGTTGGAGGAGTCCAGTAGACCAACCCTGTTTCAGCGGGCCCGACTCATGTACGGACAGACGGCGGGGGCTGGGATGGACTTTGACAAGCTGTCGACTGTAGCAAGTGAGGCTGAGAAGATGGGAACCTTTGTGGACCGGAATGTTGAAGGGTCTTCTGGCGGGAGGAAGCAGCCTTCCGCACCGAACCAAGCCACCGACTTCACGCGTGCACTGAACTACCTGCTGAAGCATGTATTCAGATCGCCTCGAAGTCAGCTGGCGGATCTAATCAGGTTTTTATATGTCTCCTGCTGTCCAGAGGAGAGGCGTCCGGAGACGTCCGAAGGAAACATGCACCAGCCTGTCTTTCGAACTTCCTCGTTGAAAACTCAGGTAGGTCCGTTTAGTCAGCCAGTCGGTAAGAACGGAATTCACCATCACAGTAATGTTATCAGGCTAGAACATAAGTTTTTTATGACTTTAGAAGTGGGAATAATATATGGGATTCATTAAATTGCCGAGTTACAGGAAGCAGTTCAGAAGAAAAGGATACTATCATCGAAACAAGACGTTTATTGGCCTGACGTTTCGGATTCTCATCCGAACCCGTCATCAGAGACGTTTGCAAACACAAGCAGTGGAAGCACAACGACTTCAGTATTTAGAGTACATAGCTGTCATGGGACGATAGGCGTGCTGTAATTAACAGCCCTCGAGATGACCGTTGGGGGTCTAATTGATGCGATGATAGCACGTCAGTCCGGATCCGAGTCGTTAATTTTTGGATGTTGGCTTGATGATTACTCGGCAAGGTGGCTCGCTGTAAGCGGGATTGTTGCTCAGATTATACCTACCGGAGAACTTAAGGCAGTTGCCAGTTTGTGCTCCAGTTGTATTTGGTGTTCATTTCATGTGTTTCCCATTCGAGTCCAAAAACGCTCTTAATATATGGACTGGGGGTTGCTCCAGACGCGCATGGCTGAGCACACAGCAGTGTTGATGAGGAAAAACGTCAGCTCTCAGGCGGCAGCTTATTCCACAGCACCCGGCCATATTTTAAAGTTTCAAGAGGCTGAAATCTTCGCAAGAGCTGACAAACTCACGAGCTGCGAGCTGCCCGAGTCATGGTTCTCAGCCCCGCAATACATCAGAAAGCGCAATGGTCCCCCGGCACCATATTCTGTGCTGAGACATTCCCTGAGAAGGGGAATCAGTCACATGAGGAGGGCGCGGGCGCACACCGTCCTGGTGACTGCAGGCCAAATTGTCGAATAATCATCTTTGGGATCGTTTCTCGCCCGCGCTCTCCCTACGTGACTGCTTCCCCTGTTCAGGAAATGTCTCGACATCGAATATGGTGCCAGGAGATCATTGCGCTTGTTGCTGGATTGCGGTCCTGAGAACCATGATTAGAGCAGCTCGCGACTCACGCGGATGTCAGTGCTTGCGATGATCTTGACCTCTTGAGATTTGAAAATATGGTCGGGTTCCGTGGAATGGGCTGCTACCAGAGAGCTGGCGTCTTTCCTCCTCACCGCTGCTGCGTGCTCAGCCATGTGCGTCTGGAGTACTCTCTCAATTTCTCCAACTTAGTTGCTCTGTCCGCAACTGCCCCATGTTCAATAAACGACTCCAGGTGTTTGCTGCCGCGGCAGTGGGTCTTTCGGCCTCATGACTTGGCGCCTGATGGTTGCTTCCGACCTGTGTAAAACCCCAACTCCAAGTGGAGTTAGAAAGCGACCGACGGCTTCCAAGACGTCCCTCACGCACGGAAGAGATCGCCAAAATGTAGGGCCTGTTGTGTTTGGTTTCTGATTTCATCTGCGTACGCATTGGTTGACAAAGTTGCGCAG